TGTGATCCCATTCTGGGTCTGTCTAGTCTTCTCCCCGGATCACATAACCTTTGCTGCCTTCACACCAAAGAAATGCCAGGCTGCCTCAAATCCAAATTCTGATTGTTTATATGATGATGTTTGCATTGCAAACTGCAAAAACCAGAAAAGGTCTGTTTGAATTTGTTAGTCTTTGTAGTTATTTATCTGTTTACTTGTCTTTTTTCTGAGTTTTGTTCATTTATTGTCTCTGTTCACTTTCCTCATCATGGAAAAGGTGTCACTTTATGCAATAAAAAAGGAAAAATCCATCAACTTTAAAAACATCCACCAGTTTTCCTTCTCTTTTCCAAGGATGAGTTGCATACCCGGCATCCCTCTCCTTAGCTCCTTCTGGGGGATACCAGGTGCTCCCAGACCAGAGAGGAAACGCAATCCCTACAGCAAGTTCTGGGTCCTCCTTGCACCTGGAACCTCCAGAGGAAGCATCCCGGTCAGATGTCCGAGAGGAGGAGCAGCGGATCTTCTCGGAGCTCTGCACTCCTCTCTGAATCTAAACCCAGTAACTACAGAGGAAGAAAATTTCTGCTGATTTGATCAAACTTTTTCCAGTCATTCACATCTCATGACCATTTACAGCCATCTACGGCAGCCATCTAGAAACAGACTGACACAAAAATCAGCATAAATAACACTTCCTTTGTTTCATTGCTGAAGACTGATGTTATTCAAGAACCTGCAGCTAATTTCCAGACATTCAAAGACCTTTCCAAAGGGCTAAAGTTGGCGTAAATTCATCATGTCCTCGATTTAGAAAGCAGCAAACAATTTTAAAAAATTGTTATGCTTTATATTTTTCATGGTTGAGACTGCTGTCATCTGGAAATTAAACTATCAGGCTTCTTTGACCCTGACGACACATTTTAATACCATTATTTCCTGAATGTCACAACTTTAAAGCAAAAACCACATCAGACCTGAATTTTGCATCAAACTTGAGCTCCAAATGAGGAGTTTCTGTAACGCAAAGGCGAAACGTTCAGTTAGGCTCTGTTTACCAGAGTGAAACATTTGAATATGTTACAGAAAAAGGATCTCGTTTGGGAGTGATGTGGGGAACAAGGTGGTATTTGAAGCCATTGTGCTGCAGATATTGATCACAGACCGATTATGTTTCCGTGGTTCTCAGAGGTCATCTCATTCTATAAATAGAGGCAGAAACTTTGCTGTGCAACAAAAATAAACTTAGGTTCCTCATTGGTGCAAAAAGTGAATTTATCATGGTAAATGGCCCGCATTTGATATAGTGCCTTCTAGAGTCCTGGAACCCCCAAGGCACTTTACAACACAATCAGTCATTCACCCATTCACACACACATTCACACCCTGGTGGGATTGAGCTACAATGTAGCCACAGCTGCCCTGGGTCGCACTGACACTGAGAGTGTGATGCATTATCTAATAAAGCAGTGCAGTGGTTCCTTGCTCGCCCCTTGAACCACTGCTATAAAGCACAAATAATTCAATTCAATTCAACTCAAGTTTATTTATATAGCGCCAAATCACGACAAGAGTTGTCTCAAGGCACTTCACATAATAAACATTCCAATTCAGGTCAGTTCATTAAGCCAATCAGAAATAATGTTTCCTATAGAAGGAACCCAGCAAACTGCATCAAGTCACTGACTTGTGTCAGTGACTATACAGCAATCCTCATACTAAGCAAGCATAAAGCGACAGTGAAGAGGAAAACTCCCTTTTAACAGGAAGAAACCTCCAGAGGATCCTGGCTCAGTATAAGCAGCCATCCTCCACAACTCACTGGGGATCGAGAAGACAGAGCAGACACACACACGCACGCACACACGCACGCACACACGCACGCACGCACACACACACACACACACACACACACACAGAGAGAGAGAGAGAGAGAGAGAGAGAGAGAGAGAGAGAGAGAGAGACACACACACACACACACACACACACACACACACACACACACACACACACACACACACACACACACACACACACACACACACACACACACACACACACACAGAGAGAGAGAGAGACAAGTAATGTGTCTATAGTTATATTGTGATGTCTTAGTAAATATTCTATTTGGTGAAAGATAAACTTTATTGTATTTATCCTAGTGGATCTATAATTATACAGATAAACTAGTATTAGCACATCCAACGTCAAGGAAAGCAAAAAGTTATTATCAGGAGAGGGAGAATGTTGGTGGTTAGCAGCAGTGTGCTAGTCGATGGCCCCCTCCATGAGGCCACCACAGCTCAGCAGAACATCATTGTAGCTTCTTCTGGGGAGAAAAACACTTAGAGAGAAAATAAAGTTAACAGCTGAAATTGCAGAAAATAGTTCAGCTAAAGAGCAGATTGTAGAAGAAAGTAGTAGAGTGTGAAAAGTGGTCAGTGTATCATCCAGCAGTCTAAGCCTATAGCAGCATAACTACAGAGATAACTCTGGATAATCTATCCTATTTAGATGGAGGCATGTTGGAGTCAGGGCAAGGGAGAGCCGTCTTTACCAACTGTACACTCCACCTCCCTCTACTCCCCCACTTGTCCAGATTTAGGCTAACCATTTTAACCATAGGCCCTATCAAATAAAAATGTTTTAAGCCTATTCTTAAAAGTAGACAAAGTGTCTGCCTAACGGACTAAGGCTGGGAGCTGGTTCCACAGGAGAGGAGCCTGATAACTAAAAGATCTGCCTCCCATCCTAATTTTAGATATTCTGGGAACCACCAGTAGACCTACAGTCTGAGAGCGAAGTGCTCGGTTAGGAACATATGGAACAATCAGATCCCTGATGTATGATGGAGCTTGATTATTAGGAGCTTTATATGTGAGAAGAAGGATCTTAAAATCTATTCTGAATTTAACAGGTGTAGGGTGTAGGTGTAGGCAAGGGCGTCAGTTTGTTGTCAGAATTGCTGGGGACAATAACCATACACTTGAGTGGGGTTTAAAAATTGCTGGGGACAATAAAGTAGGCTAGCACAGGGGTCAGCGGCTCTTCCATCCATCTGATGCGGCTCTCTGTGCTTGTGAAATAATGAATGGATATTTAAATAAAAAGCTTTATATTTTACTGCATTAATTTTACGTCTGTAAGCTAATTCTAAATGTAAAGATTGTCTGCGTAAACCTGAACAGGTCCAACCCGGTCTTACTGTGAGACCGGGTTGACGCGTCACGCTTGTGCGTAATCATATCGGCGCTTCTGAGCTGCTTTCTGACCTTCCCCACCTACAAAGTTTAATTACAACAATCAAACGTGACAGAGCCTGGATTTGTATTCTGAACAGTCTAAACATGTTTTAAAAAGAAACGTAGGACAGAAGTGGCACCTGCTCAGTAAAACATCAACAGGGTGAAAAATACCAAAAATTGAAGGCAGAGACGGGCTACAACTTCTGGATCCATTTTATATAAATCGTTTTATTGATTATCGTCTAATGAAAGATAATTAAGACGTACATGAGCGATCAGGCGCGTTGCAAGCTTTTCAAAAGTGTGGGGGATGTTGTCTGTGCCTAAAATAATTTCATGTTATTCATCTTGTTAGTTTAATTTCCATAATAGCGGAGCAGGTGCGAATTTTAGACGCGTCACGCACGTCTCCGTTTCAAACATGTTTAAACTGTTCAGAATACAAATCTAGGCTCTGTCTCGTTAGATTGGTGTAACTAAAGTTTGTACTGAATGAAACTTTACATTAAACCATGTTAAAAAGTAAAGGATCCGATTAAATAGTTTCCCCCTCATTTACAGTCAGTACAGTGCAGTGCGCACGGCTCTGGGGTTAATCAAGTTTAATTGTAACATTAATGTGTTACTGGACACGCTGGTCTGGTTGGTTAGACCAGTGTTTGAAGTGGAAAACACACACACACACACACACACACACCAATTAAAATAATGCTGATAGCGTGGACTAGAAGACAGGTGTATTTAAATGATGATCAGGCTGCTGTACAATGTAATCTCCATCCACATCCAGACACAATTATCCTCTATTCTGTCTCTATTTGCTCTGCTTTTGTCTGGGCTGATCAGCTGATGGTGCGCGCGACGCGCCTAACTTGCGGCTGATGCACATTTTACGCATTTGGAGAGGTGGACTGGATGCTTTGCGTTTACTGGAAGTTGGTCCATTTAACGCACGGGTGTAGACTACATATTAATGACAAATGAATGTAAATTAAATTGTGAGTTTTTACTTCACATTTTAGAAATAAAAATGACAGGGGAAAACATTTATGATGTCTTTTTAAACTAAATTTTCTAGCGCGACCTGCCTGCTTCACTAAGTCACTGCTTATTAAGGTCCGTCCAAAATTACCGTGGCCCATCCAAAAATGAAAACCTGGCGCCGCGCCTGTTATAAACCTCTGCAAATTGTTGTTCTTCACTTTATCAAACTCAGACTTTGTACAGCTAATGTCAAGATGTAAAATTATGAATTCAGTCGAGCTCTTCCGTCCCTCCCTCTCCTGGAAACCCGACATCGGCTGGGAGGTGAAGAAGGAGATGAGGCAAACAGAGTGAGTGCGACCTATAGAAACCAGACTGGTGTGGAGGTGAGCAAAACAGCTGGAAAAGTGTGGGTGTTGAATCCCCCACGGGTGCGATGCCCCCGGCTGCTGTCACCTGTTGTGAGCAGCGCTCTGCTGTCTGAGGGTAGGCCCCGCCCGCAACGCTGCGGCTAATGCGGTGTTTTCTTTAATGGCTCTTTGATGGGAGCAGGTTGCCGACTCCTGGTATAAGATCTGAGCTGGTAAAACAAAAATCCTCATCAGCAGGCTTTTTTGAAAGTGGGGGGGACACAGCTGCCAATCACGAATTTTGCCGGGGACATGTCCCCGGCGTCCCCGGTTAAAATGACGTCTATGGGTGTAGGGAAGCTAAGACAGGAGAGATATGATCTCTCTTTTTAATTCTCCTCAGAACTCTAGCTGCAGCATTTTGGACAAGCTGAAGACATTCTGTGGACTTCCTGAGAGTAATGAATTACAGTAATCCAGTCTTGATGTAATAAATGCATGAACTAGTTTTTCAGCATCACTCCTGGAAAGGATGCTTCTAATCTAATCTAATCTAATTCTCGGAGATTAATGTAATGCCATTCAGGTCAGGCGATTGGCTAAGCAATTTCCTTTTCTGGATTTCTGGTCCAAAGATAAGAACTTCCGTCTTGTCTTGATTTAAAAGCAAAAAGTTTAGAGTCATCCAATTTTTTATGTCCTCAAGACAAGCCTGTAATCTACCTAACCGATTAGGTTAATCAGGGTTAATGGATAAATTTAACTGAGTATCGTCAGCATAACAGTGGAAGTTTATCCCATGCTGTCTAATGATTTTACCAATTGGGAGTATAGTAAAAAGAATTGGTCCAAGCACTGAACCCTGTGGTTCTCCGCAAGTAACTCTGGAGTATGAAGACGATTTGTCATGTACATTTACAAAATGAAATCTGTCAGACAGGTAGGATTTAAACCAGCCTAGCGCTGTTTCTTTGATCCCTACAACATGTTCAAGTCTTTCTAAAAGAACATTGTGATCAACTGTGTCAAAGGCAGCACTGAGATCTAACAAGACTAGAACAGGCACAAGATTCTTATCTGAGGCCATGAGAATATCATTTGTAACTCTCACTAACGCAGTTTCAGTGCTGTGATACTCTCTAAAACCAGACTGAAATTCCTCAAACAGAGCATTAGTGTTTAAATGCTCACATACTTGGATGGCCACTATTTTCTCCAGGACTTTGGATAAAAATGGAAGGTTAGATAACTAAATAACTAAATTAATAAATAAGTAAATAAATAAATAACGCTGCTCTGGTTAAGTCTCTGAAAGCAATTCTTAACTTGAAGGTGACAACTCGTCTTGAAGCAGTTTTAGTTCATCAAGCTTGAACACAAACAGCACGGTGTTCCCTTCTTGCACACGGCTCATCGTGGTTATTCTTCATTCGCCGACTGCCAGATTCAGAGTCGGAGGTTCATCTGCTTAAGCTGCAGGACAGCTGCCTTTGGTCCTGGCAGCAACACGTCGTACCGACTCTTTCTAGGAAACACACATTGCACACGTCTGTTTGCAGATCACTGCGAATCCCGACTCCAGCACTTTCCAAGGAATGCTATGGTGTGTGTGTGTGTGTGTGTGTGTGTGTGTGTGTGTGTGTGTGTGTGTGTGTGTGTGTGTGTGTTTTGAGCAGCCTCTGATTTCACCATCATATAAATCTAAGAACAGAAGACGTTGTAAATCTTGCTGTTCCTGCAAACTTTCCCAAGACTTCCAGGACTTCTGTCCCAGCAGCTACAAAACCACATAGATGAGCTCAGCAGACTTCCTCTGGTGGACTCAATGCTAGGCTAGCAGCTAGCATCACAACAAGTCTGCTGTCCTTTAAAGAGAAAGTTTACTGACAAACTGTATTTACTTGTTTTTTAAAAATGTGATCAGTCTGTTTTTCATGCAGGTTGAGCATGAAAATAGTCTCCTACACCTATCTCCTGCATTAGCTTCTGATAGAAAACAGATGGTGAAACTCTAGGATTAGAAAAGCCTGACAGATCTATGTCACTTAGCATTCATGGACTCACCCATCTTGACTCATGACTCATGACAGGCGGTTGTTGGTTTAGTGTCCAGGAAACAGCAGAGAACGTTTTGGCTAGTAGCAGCTAACTGTTAGCATTAGCAACTCCACCACACAGCAGAACTCTTTCAGGCTTGTTTTATTTGTGAAGATAAAACATCAATGTTGCAGAGCAAACAGAGTCAGTGGCAGAGTCGTGTTGCTGTTAGCCAATCAGAGGAGAGATTTCCAAATATCAGGGAAAAATACTTCAGATCCTGCTGTTTTATTGCTCACCTCTCCTCTGGCTCACTACTAGTTCCTGAAACAGGAGTGTCAGAGCTTCATTCCCACAGAGATCGGCTCACAAGGCATTCATTCATCCTAGAGACCAATAAACAACCTACCTTTAATAACAAAAAGTAAATAACTGCAAAGCTTTAAGTATCCTACTTTTATAAAAGGAAAATCTTTACCAGCAGTAATTAAAGAAGAGAGGAAAAAGGAAAAATAAGAAGTTGTTTCAAGTTTAGGTTTTATACAAGTTGATTTGTTTTTTATGTAGTTACATTTTCTCCAGTTAGGTTTACAATCACTGGCATGATCAGTGGAGTCTGACCCCCAAACAATTAAACTAATAAGTAGATAATGGAAGTTTCCACATGTGGGACATGTTTCCTTAGCATCTGAGTATCAAAGCTTCCTGAGTTTACATCTTTTGTGAGTCCAAACTACTTTTGAATAAGAGGAAACCATTGTTTTACTAATGGCTTTTTAAATAAAAATCACGAGGCGCTTCACAAGAATGACAAAAATAACAATATTTTAAAGTATCTTCATAAAATAGAAAAAAAGAGGTAAAATATAAAATTAGAAATTGTGAACAATAAAAAAGGTAATCGT